GTATAGTGGAGTCCCACAGGGTTCTGTCCCCGGCCCCGTGCTTTTCAATGTCTTCATCAACGACTTATCACTTGCGCTCGAGACGGATTACCTAATCTACGCCGACGACCTAAGACTGGATGAAGGTATCTAGCGTGGAAGATGCTGTCAGGTTACAATCGACGCTCGACCTGCCACATGATTGGTCAGTTAACTGACAGTTGCCGATGAATCGTGAGGAATGTTCGGTTCTTCCAGTTGGTGCGTCTGACCTATTTGGAATCTACCCGTAGTGGTTCTTTGCTCAGAAACGCCACTCAGGAGAGGGATCTGGGAGTGATACTTTCGTCTGGCCTCATATCTAATCAAGATCCCAAGAAAAAGGTCGCTGCAGCCTACAGCATGTTTCATTCAATACGTAGGGCTTTCTCTCGCCTGACACCGGGGCTCTTCCGGCTCCTGTTTACTTCTCGAATACGGACTACCTGCCGCCTACCCTCTTACGAAATTCGGATGTGATATCATTGAGGTCCAACGGCGTAGATCCAAATCCGTTCTTGAACTGCGGGACCTGCCCTATTCTCTCCGACTCAAATTGCTGAACTTCTTTTCCTTGGATTATTGTCGTCATCGCGGAGATATGCTCTTCACTCGACGTATTCTTAGAGGAGAGTTGGGGAGGGAATTACGGGAATCATTTCATCTCAACGCAGGGTTCGAAAAAAGGCCACACTTTGTAACTTTTCAGACCGAGCAGCCGTCGAGTGCGATCCAGTCTGCCTTTATCCACTAGCGTCGTGAATGACTGGAACCGCCTACCGGACTCCATCGTCGATGCCAAGACCGAGTAACGTTTCAAGCATTTGTTGAATCCTCATTTTATTTTGTGGGAATCCATCTGTTTCCAAAGCAGCTGCAGCGGTCCTCTGCGGGACCTTGTTCCGCAATGACCCAGGCTATCTCCGCAACGTTCGGGAAGTGCCGGAGCTGACGAAAGACCTTTCTTCGGCTCTCTATCATCCAATGATATAATGGTTAGCTGTCCAGGCAGACAGCAGCACAGATAATAAAAGCCCGCCGTACGAGTAAATTACGGTCCCCTTTGTCAAGGTTCAAGGATTGTGGATGGTACAGTTTGTGCTGCTTGCCACTTGTAATCTTGGCGGGGCAACACGCCAAAAGTTGTGACGATGTGTCTTTTGATCCTGGATAGCAAAACAGCATGCCCAAAGGAGATTTTACATTAGCCACTCCGGCCAGGTGCTTGGAGAATCTTCAAGCCCCCCTATACATCAGAGTGGGCCGATGTATGGACGATATCAAGAATATTTTGTGTTTGACCTGGCATCGTCCGTGTTGGTGTTGAGGCATACTGAATCAGATTGCACTCGTTAATAGCATCGAGAAGGGAGGCTTCGAAGGGATCTTGGTAAATATCAGTGGAGAAACTTCAGTCGACACTATGCATTGAAGTCGCCCATTAGCTGACAGTTCCTGCCTCTACCATTAGTTTCTATCGACAGTAGTAAACGGACGCCTGAGATCAGTGGGTCTCTGTAAGCCACATTGATTGTGTGTAGTTCATACCCCTCACCACCGTAGCTCTGTCATTGTCACTGAGAACTTCGATAACATGTACCTTAAGGCAGAACCTCGAATAGAGGTTTACTTCGCCTCCATTCCGCCCATTGGAGCGATCAACTCGTGCAAGTTGTTATCCTGATATATTAGTCTTCGCATCCTGAATCTCCGCTAACCAGGTCTCGGTGAAAGCCAGCGAATCTGGCTGTTACTCAGTTATAAGAGGAGGAGTCTCGTCGAACTTATTTTCAAGGCTGCCTACATTGGCAAATATTACTCGCAATCCGCTATTCTGGCTTTGGGGCTAGGTAGCAGAAGGATGGGCTTTTCAGCGTGTTCTCTGCGTTTTTTTAACAACGCGAAAATCCACGATATGAAGATCAGTTTCGCCGTTCGCTTTGCCGGTTTGCAGTTCGTTGACTGCTTGTCTCTTTCTGACTCAATCTTTCAGGGCAAAGAAGGTTTCTGCTTTGAGGCGCGAGGTACACCTGAGGATGCAGCGACCTTTTTCATCCTGAAAGACCACTTTTAGCGGGCGAGTCTTGGATGGATCATCCCGCTTCCTACCTAGACGGAAAGCAGAGACGATGTTGATACCCTGCTTGCCTTCATCGAATAGAATGGATACCATCCGCTTCAAAAAAGCTTGGTCGTTAAGAATGTTGTCAACCGGTGACTGTCGGATTCAGGAGCACTTGTAATTATTAAGCAAGGTACTTTTGTTCGTCGCAATCAGCCGACAATTCAGATAAGTCAACTTATCTGAATTGTCGGCTGATTGCGACGAACAAAAATACTCACCAAAATCCTACTCATAATTAATATTAAGCAACGATTACGTGGTGTTTTGTTTCTTTTTGAGAGACCTGGCTTTTGTAGGACGCTTTGTTTTAATAAGTCTTTCAAGTTGGCTGGCTTTGTCAATAATGAGCTCCAGTTGCTTTAGGTTTGATTTTACTTTAGACCTTGGAACTGTTTTTTCGTCCTCTGTCTTTTGACCTGGTTCATCGCCGCTATATTTGCAGCATTTACGCTCGCCACAGCCGCATGGGTCTTCGTCTTTATTTTTTCATAGTTGCATGCAAATGCTCTTTGCAGACGCTACCTTACAACAGGTGTCCCCTCTGAGGAAGAGGAGATTCGACCTCGGTTTTTTGCTGGATTGGCAGACCCGACGGGCAGCGGCGTTCCTGCAAATGTAGTAGAGAAAGCACGGCTTCTGTTCCCTATGGGCGTAGAATAATCCGACCCGGTCAGGTACGCTGATAAAACGTGTTTCGCAGTCATAGATACAGCTTGTGCAGAAGCAGTATTTATACTGAAGCAGCATAAGTTCATCGGAAACTTTCGTCGTTAACCACTGCCTTCGGAGACAGTATTGAAGCCATTAGTAAGGATCATGACCAATGTTACAGCACCCTATGTGCGTGCATTTCTCGCAGAGAGCGCATTGGACGGCCTTTGACCGGGAAGTGGCACTTCTGCCATAGTCCACGTATTTGGACGTCATATCTTCCGAGAAAAAAATTTGACAACTGTCAAATTTTGTTGCGTGTTTATTAGAACTTCTTTTCACGGTATATTCACCTAAAAGACTCGAAAGTATAGCACGCTAAAAAGTGGTTACCGCGACTTGATGTGTCACCGATACACGTGACGTGCACATCTCACGTCCTCACTGTGTTCGATTTCTACCCATTTGATTGTACTATTTGTTGTGCGACAACCGTTGGAATATTGTGTTCCTTTGTTTCGGCACATCGGACCTACTTCGATTCCTACTAGAACGATAGCACGTTACCGAAATGACGACGGCGATGCTTTACGATTATTACGACGAGGAAAAATGCGACCCGTGTGGCCCACAACTCTGCATTGGCGGAGATTTGTCCACTTGGAAGCGCATAGTAGATTCTTTTAATTTACTCCCACCCACTAGGAGACTCTGGTACATTGTATCGCACATGGTTACTTCCATTCATACGAAACACGCACTCTCATCGTCATCGGTGCAATCTGTATATGAGTGTCTTTACGGAACCTTTCCTCACGCAAGGCAGCGTTCCGAGGTCACCGCACCTTTGTAACAACCAGATGCCATGCCTGTTCATCTTCTGCACTCACCACCGCATCCTGCGTTGACGCAACAGGGCTCGGCCTTTGCGAAATCCACCAGTGTCTTGGGCTTTCATGTCCATCAACGAAAGCAGCAGCTGTTGAGCCCGCTGAAGCTACAAACCTAGGTACTACAAGAGCAACAATTGCTACCTATAGACGGAATTGAAACAGCTGTGGCATTGCAATCCATCGTACTTTCGCCCCTGTGCCTCACTGAACAGGAAAAGTTTTCATTCGGGACAGTGTATTTCACTGTCTTCCATCTTTGTGATGCTGAGTACCATGTCATCGATGACCGCGATACACCGCCAATTGCCGTGTCCTATGCGTGATGGTGGCTGAAAGCTGGGGCGAAGGGAATAGCCTGCCTCAGTGCGGTGGATCAAGTGGGCGGGTGCGTTTTTAACGTCACATGTAGTTGTACATTACCTCAGACTTGTGAATGGAACACTTGTGTACAGAGCCGGTGTAAGTTCTTTTTCTTGCCGCGGCTGGGAGAACCAGGCACGCAACATGGTGACAGAGAAAAAGAAGAACCCGACGAGCAGTCAACAGCTTTGCTTTGGCTGGCAGCCGTTTTTATCGTTGCTGACTCCATGACAGATGACGGAGGGTTCGCTGCCCTAAAACAGGCGCCTGTGGAGTGTGGAGTGGATAAATTTCGCGACACTGATCGAGTTGGATGAACGTCCTATGCCATACCAGTTAACCATGTTTAGGTACGCCATCGGCCATGATGCGAGGCGCACACTAGACGCTGCAATCTTGACCAAGAAACGGATCTTTCAGAAACGCTCGAGAGATTTGGTGATTATTGTAAAGGCCGGTTAAACCATTTCGCCCGTTGCTGTCGGTCGACCAACGTTAGGTCACTTGCTAGCGTAAATCAGCTAGAAGCGCAAAGGATTTCAGTAAATAACAAGTGGGATCATTACGAGGAGCGATGCGCTAATGCAAGACTGGCGATTCAGGGACAGCTAGTTCAACCGCAAGCTGATACTGGAGCCACCATACATTCGCAACCCGAAAAACTTCACTAATCGTCTTCAATACCGTCTTCGAAAGCGTTTACTACTCTTACTGCTATTAATTACTACTATTACTGCAATTGGTGTCACTACTATTGCTACTACTACTACTACTAATAATAATAATAATAGTAGTGGTAATAATAATACTAATTTGTGTTCTTCCCTTTCAGCACATCGGATCCACTTCTGTTCCTGCTGGGACCCACTACACATTACACTACCTAGCATGCCGAAGTCCAGACGTGACCGCAAAGGTTTTCCGCTCTCTTGTTTCTTATTTTACGTTTGCAGTCGATTTGACTAAAGTGAAAAAGAAGTTCACAAAGAAGAAGGATCAAATCAAAAAGGCTTGTTTGCTTCTCTTATTGTTTGATCCCTGCAGGTCCGTCAATATTTGCAATCCTTCACCAAGGCGTATGTCATCAAGTTTTTAAATCCAAGAAATCAGAAGATATCCCAGCTACGGAATGAGCTAAAAGACAGCCAGTACACTACGCGTTTTTTTCTATTTAAGAATTATTTTTGGCAAGAATAAGATAACCAGCTTGGCGTTGAAACAAGGCGCAAAAGATACACATCATCGCACGTTGCAAGATTTAGCTGTTCATCTGAAGGGGCAGTGTGCTCTTCTTCTGACTGACTTAGAAGTTCCGGATTTGCGCAAGCAATTCGATGCTTTTCGTTCCTCTGAATTTGCCAGACCTGGCGTCCTCGCTTCACAATCTGTAAGTTCACAGCTTCCGCTCCCTCTCTTTTCCATTTATTCCTACGTCTTAGAATTTTATTTCACACGTGAACCTTCGTGTACCGGCAAACCAGGTTAGGAGGTATTTTGGTTACAAATCACAAGAATTTTCACGAGCATTAACTTCTGACATAGCACCCACCTGAGGGTGATCTGGCTCACTACAGCCTGGCTCACAAATCGATGACATCGTGATCATTTACCGTTGGAGAGACTTTGTACAGAAGTGTCGCTCGATTTCGAACATGAACGTGAACTCAGACCACGCACTCCTTTGTGTCGATCATAGAGCTCGCTTCGGTGGCTGTATGCGGCAACCTCAATTGGCGAAGCCAAGTGTTAAGAACCAATATCAAACAGCGCTGGCGTGCGGGCTGAGTAAACATCCACTAAACATTGTATACCACTAGTTGCTCACTCTCCAGACGTTGCTATTAGCAAGCATATCTTCAAGTCATCAACCTCATTATCAACAGCAGCAGTGCATCAGTCATTTGAACATGCTTCCCAGCTATACCATCGTGATGACCTAAGGAATAAAAAATAAAGAATAATACCCTAAGCAAACATTCAGGGTCAAAGCGCTTGTGTTAGCAACATATCGTCACAAACAGCTAGCTATCGTGCAAAGATAAGGCGGCATCGGCGAGACAGCTTCCTTGCGGCTTTCACTGCCCCGCGTCATAATCAGCCATTACCCCGCAGATAACTCAGCACCAAACACACCTTAAACAGACAATCCGATTAGCAGACGGCAGCAGACGCGCCACTGGTGTCGGTTGCGAGCCACGTCCTGTAAAGTCTCGAGCCAAGCACAAGGTGAGTCACGTGGACTCCAACCCGGAAGGCGAGACGGACCAACGGCACCCAGTTTGGTCGTAAGTGACTTCATTTCCCGCTGCCAAGTCAACTTCTGTCCACCTCGAGCCTTGCGCCATCCTACACCTGGTAGACTGAACAAGGCCCTCCTAAGTAAGTGGTGACCAGGCATACGTAGCACGTGCCCGAGCCAACGCAACTTATTCAGTCCTATCTGTTGTTCTAGGGAGCTAGGATGCTTATCACTACCTAGTACTGGCCTAGGCACATCATCGTTGCGGACACGCTGGTGCCATCCGACTCCAGCAATGCTTCGCAGACAACGATGATCAAAAACTTGAAGGCGCCTCAGATCTTCAGACCAAAGGGACCAAGTCTCGCTACCATAGAGCAGAATGGCTTCCACTGTGGCCTTGTATACACGGCTTTTCAGGCGGAGGGGAATCCTCTTTCTGTCGCCAAAGAAAACAGTTCTGGCTTTTGCAGTACGTAAAACTGACTTCAGTTTCTATGTGCCCATCGTTGCTGATGCATCTGCAAGTGAATACACTTGCCGACATGGCTAGGAGCTGGCTTCAGTGGCGTTATGTTATGAGCTTCTTTGACCCTCCCCATCCCGCTTATCTTCCCTTTCCAACCACGATCCCTGTCTTGATGTATAATATCTTACTAAGAGTACGTCACATTTTGGTTGTTTCTATAATCTCGTTTCTTCGTTTTTTCTTTCTCGTTTTTCCTTTATACATCTTATCATTTTGTATTGCGACACAATCATTGAAGCGTGTTTTACCCCTTCAGCTAATGTGCTGATGATCTTCAGAATCCTGTTTCCCTAGTATGTGCGCCTGATCCTCGAATACGGATTACTTGCCATGTCTTCTTACCAATTTCGGATGTGCCCTGATCAAGACCCAGCGCGGTGGTTCCAAATTCATCTTGGAGTTAAGGGGCTTTCCTACCTTCCTCGACTTCAGCATATGAACTTGTTCACCCTGAATTATCATCTACTTCGCGGTGACCTAATTTTCACGAGGCGCATCCTGAGGGATAACTAGGAATATAGCTGCAAGCGCGCTTTCAAGTCAACGCTAATAGTTCAACTGGAAACTGTTTAAAGCAAGAATGATCCGCTTTCATTCGGCTCTCGCTCTATCAGCCCGCGTAGTAACTGACTGAAACGACTTGTGGAATACCGCTTCACAATGACTCGTGGCTTCAACCCAGTTATCGGGAATTGAAGGAGCTGTCAAAGAATTCCCTTATGCTTTCTACAATCTGATGGTCAACTAGCTGGGTGATCACTATTCAAAACGTTTTTGTGCACTGAAAAACAAGTTGTTAACATAGAGTAGCACATATCTCACTGCCCTTGGGTTTCTCCAGCGGTGTGAGACAATGATGCCTGTTATCATCATTCTCTTTCAACTTACTTATTGACGATTGTGAAAATTGTTCATGGGCCATTGTTTGCTATGTTTAGAGTCGCTTCCATGTCATCGAATCTGACTTGTAGTGTGCCAACAATATTGCCATCATCTGTGACAGCCCATAAACTTGCCAGGTAGCACTGGCAGTCACTCATATCAAACTGTGCTTTGCACCCTCGAGATGTTAAGCTTTCCCTGAGATTTGCATTGGCGACCCTTGGTACTGTCGTCTAGACGTCTTACAGAAATTCCAGTTCCTTGGTTTCGATGTCATTTGTGAAACAGAAGATGAAATCATAAACCACGCAGTAAACGCTCGACGCATTTATACTCAACTTCACCTAAAGCACTAGTGTGACCTTATTCTAGACATCAGGTAAAATGCTCATTGCTGATGTCCGTTCACCCCTACTGAAAGGCTGGGAATGAAGTCCCTCACTTCGAAATGGGCGTTGGCTAGTATTTCCCGATGCCTGGCTAAGGACTGAAGGATGATGAACACGTTTACTTGGAGACACTAGCTGACATGGCGAAGAGTCGACCTCAGTGACGTCTGTGTTGTAAGTCTCTTTGTTCCTCCCCTTTAGCTTCCCCCATCAAAAATATGATGTTAGCATTATGTTACTTTTTTATAGCTTTTCAGCCTACATCGCTTAATGTCCTCATTTTTTGCATTGCGCCACATTAGCTGAGGTGTGTTTCTCACCCTCGGCTAACATGTATGGATGATGATCGACTAAAAGACTGCAGACCTAACACGTCAGTTCGACAAAAGTAAGGGAGTGCGTCTGCTTTTTTGCTCTATCTGGTGAGTGGCTAGCCTCCATTCCTCTCTTTCTCATTCATAAGCCGGCGACCCAAGGGATAGTGGGGCGTCGGTCTTCTAATCCAAGACTCACCGCATCGAATCTGTGTGGATGCGGGTGACCTCACATTATGCCTGATCCGCGCGCAATTGATGGTGGTCACTTGGCGGTGAGTCATCGATCTGGCGTACTGGCATATTGCTGATCCGTTTTTCTTCTTCCTTTAGTTGGAGACACTTGTTGAAATAGCGACGAGTTGGCCCCAGTGGCATTTGTGTTGCAAGTTTGCCTATTCCTTCTCTTCAATCACACTTTCGTCCCACAAGCACGATGATAACGAATCGCAGTACTCTGCTTGTTCTTTTATTACCACCTGACTGTATCGCATTGCGGCCTTCATTGCGACTTCATAATCAGGTTGTTTTGTACGTTATTACAAGTATGCCTGCTCTCTTGATACTTCTCTGCTACATAAATTTTCAATAAACGTAATTTGTTTCACATATTCCTCCAGGTAACTATAGTTGCTGGTCCGCTCCAGAAGTTTTCACACACGATGGAGCCGTATCTGCGTCAACTTGGACTGGAAGTGAAGCTTGTACGTGGGGTTATTCACCTCGAAAAGGATCATAAAGTTTGCGAGCGGGATGAAGTGCTTACACCTGAACAATGCCGTATTCTCGTAAGTTTATCTTCGCTTGTATTGTAAACTTGATAACATTTAGTGCTCCCCTTCGCACTAAGCATAGAAGCTAATCATTGACGCTGTCTTTCACCCACTGGTATTCACTGACTCCTCGGGTCTGTCACACTCGTTTGATGACCGTGTATTATAGCATGAGCTATGGTTTAAGCTTAACTTAGTGGGCGTCGTGTTGGACGACTGGATTACTGTGCTTATTTCTCAATCATATAGCTACGGCCTTACGTATTTAATGTAAAGTGTTTTGCCGATCCAGGTGCAAGAGTGTGACCATAACCATACATAACGATCTGTTCCCATGACAGAAACAATCTCTCACGCACGTCATCATTAATATCCCTGATGTCATTCCCACATTTGCAATAGTCATGCTATTGCATCAGGTCAGAACGCTCTTGCAGCAGTGCTTGTCTGCCTCGTCCTAAGTTCTTTTATCCGACGAATACGATGTACTTACTGACGAATTGCTCTTTATCTGTTCTTTCTCTCTTTCCCACTTCATGTGCTATTATTACTGCTATTACTGCTATTATTATTATTATTATTATTATTATTATCATTATGCCGTTGGTCAGTATATGATCGACTTTCAGTCAACTTAAGCATTGTTCGTTTGATGGTATCACCGGTTCAATTCACTGGTCAGCGCGTGAAAGTTTAACGGATTCATTTTCACACCCATACTCTGGCACAGTTTGACACAGGCACCGAGAATGAGGTGCGCACCGAAATTGCACAAGACAAATTTCCTCTTCATCGGCTTCTCACGAGAATGATAATTACAATTGGAGTTCTTCACAGCACCTTCCAAATCAGATTGTTCTTTACATACCCGAAAATACGGGAAAGCCCTTTTCTTCTATCGGGACTAGAGCCGCTCCGCCATGGTCCCAATTTGTAAAGGAGGCTCACGTTCGGAATGCGGCGATCATAGAGGGATCAGTCTGATCTCAACTGTCTCTAAGTTGCTTGCATCTGTCTTTCTCCACAGACTGACTGATATTCGTGAAAGCCAGATCCCTGAAGAGTAAGCCGGGTTTCGTCGAAATCGAGGTTGCATTGACCATATCTTCACTTTGCGTCAACTGTTGGAGCACCGCCATGTTTATTGGCGACACACTGTTGTCGTGTTACTCGACATCAGAGGTGCCTTAGATACGGTGGATCGATATACATTTGGGACTGTCTAATGAGAAAAAGTATGCCCGATAAATACTTAAACATCATCAAAGCGCTACACGCGCATAGTTCGAGCAGAGTGAGGGTTTATGATAAACTGTCGCCGCCCTTTAATATCTCCAGCCGTGTGAGACTCCTTTTCTCTTTAACTCTGCCATTGACGATATCATGGAAGCAGCGTTCGCTGGACGCGACCTAGTTGGGGAGTTAATTCTTGATGAGCGACTTCTTAACTTGGAGTATGTGGACGATATTGCCCTCATCTGTGACGGCACCCAAACGTGCCAAGCAGCACTGACTGTCAATTGTTTTATTCTATGCTTTGCTCCATCTAAATGCAAAATCCTCCAAGATTGGCAGGCACCCACCCGTGCGATGACCCTTAGTGGTGATCAGCCAGAAGCCGTCGACAAATTCAAGTATCTAGGCAGCTATATTAGCCGTCGTGGGCTTGAAGACGTGGTTACGAACCGTATAGCAATGGCTCGAGGTGCTTCTGCCAATCTCCGCCACTTATGGCCTCGATGCGACATCACTTTAGCCGTGAAAGGCAGATTTCATATTGCGGCCGTCTGTTCAACCCTGTTATACGGTTGTGAAACCTGCCCCCTCAGATCGGCAGACTTAAAGTGGCTAGGCACGTTCGATCATCGCTGACTTCGCAGCTTAGCTCATGTCTGGTGCGAGCACCGCGTGAGCAATAAGCGTGTTCGGCGTCGCGTATTTGGTGCAGGAAGAGCAAGTGAACCGCTCAGCACCGTTATATGACGCACAGCGCTCTGATGGCTGGGCCACGTGTTGCGCATGCCAGCACACCGACTCGCGCGACGTTCATTGTTTGCGCGCCGGTGGCGCGGTTGGAAGAGGAGGCCAAGCGGAGAGGAGTGAAAACCCGAACTTCGAAGTTGAGGTCGGTTGGTGCATCCCGACTGCCTGGCTGGAGTTTTAAGGACGATGAACACGTTTGGTTGGACACTTGCTGATATGGCGAAGAGCCCCATCCGCAACGTCGTTTGTGTTGTGAGTTTTTTTGTCCATTCCCCTCCTTTAGATTCCCTTCCAATTTCGATCTCAGCCTGTTCATGGGGGGAGGGGCGGGACGGACAATCATAACACAGCGATAGCGTATCGATGCTTAGTATCAAACAAAATGGAAAAATCATCTTATATTCACAAAGTAATGCAAGGGGGCAACAAACCACATTGTATACAACGTAGTTTCTGACTGCTGACATGGAAGATCCAAACGGTAGGAACCAACTCGGCTCAGTGTTTCTGTGAGTTTCTTCATGTCATATCACCTAACTGCCCACCAGGTCTTCTACCAGATCAAATGAGAGGCTTTGATATCACTATTCGATGCTTGTAGTAAATAGGCATCAGCTTTCAAATGCGCTCGATCTGTTTACGTCCACAGTGTGCATTAGTCATGCCTCTGACCCATGCAATGACACTAGCTACACTGCCGTTACAACTGTCCTCGACACTCGGCTTTTGTCTCCACCGTTTTTAAATGCCACATAAATCTCAGCGAAGCTTGTATTCACCTTTTTGGTATTTCGGCCGCCCAAGATGATGCAACTACCTAGGTGAGTAAATCGATCATTGGCTTGCCGAACAACTCCCTCGTGGTGCCAGCTGGCTGGTTCGGGTCTTTCCCCTTTCCAGCCAATGGTTTGGCACCGGTGTTCATGCTTTTTTCTCTATAAAAGTCCACATATGTCCGTTTAACAACACTGTGACGTGGCGGATGTGACTCGTCACCAAATAACATCACTGTCCCTTGCTTCACTCCGGTGGAGCATTATATCCCAGCCCTTCTTACTGAAATCGTGGTGAATTATTTGGCCCCTATTTGGTAACCGACTTATCACTCACCGGCCTCCAGTGGGTGCGATTCCCTGAACTCACCGCTGTCTTGCGAGTAGGCTATTCAATTAAAGGCTTGGGTGATGTTCCCTAAGTCAACTCCCTACTTCGACCTGAGCAACCAGGTAATATCACGTCCACAGACAAAAGCCATGAACTGTTTCACACTGTACTTATCTGCTACTGTTTCTGCTTGTTATACGAGTTCATCACACGTCAGTCGTTTGCACGTTAGCAATCCTTATCCGTTACCCGACTCCTTTGTTCATGGATCTGCCTGCGATTCCGGTTGCACCGTGAGCCGTCGACGTTGACATCTGCTGTGTTTTCGAAACCTGATTGCTCGACTCCAGCACTGTGCTTACGCTGACCCCACTAACCACGTGGCCCACATATTGCCTGCGTCTTTCCAGAGACCCAGAAGCAGCTTCAACAGGTTTGGCTGGTGTAGGTATAGCATTGAGTGGCAATGCCGAGGCCACGCTGCTAGACGGCTTCCCGATTAACAGCCGACTGTGTGCAGTTCGACTTCGGGTTTCATGTAGAATCAACAGGCATCGCGAGGAGAGAGGTAGCTTGTTTGTTATCTCCGCGTACGCTCCAAATGACTGCAGTAGTGGCTCGGTCAAGGACGACTTCTTTCAGGGGCTTTATCAGCTCTTGAGTGAGGCTGAGAAATCGGATATCGTTGTCCTTGCTGGGATTTCATTGCACGGATTGGCCGCCTGTTACCATAAGAAAGTCACCTTGGTGGTCATCAGGCGCTCGATTAGGACCCCTCGGATAATGTAGAGACTTGTCACATTTTACGAAGACAACCATCTGTGTCTCTCGAGCGCCACCTTCAAACATACGAAGAGACGTTCCTCAGCTTATCCTCTCCATTCGCCAGAACAGCCGTCGTCTCAAGTTGGTCACATCGCAAGCACAAGTGAGCCGCCTGTTACAAAGCGAGCACCATCTTTGAGGGTGTTTTTGGCCTCGGTAGCAGTCGACCAGACAATGTAGACAGGCACTGACTCTCTGTTATAATCATCGCTTGTTTCTTTCGAGCACCAGTTCTCGACATTCGAAAAGACAGACTACAACGTGGCATCCGCCTTCTCAAACGCAAGAGTAGTCCCAGCTTGACCACATAGCAATAGGTTACAGATGGCGCGGAAGCGTAACAGATTGCCGATCGTACTGGTCAACCTGTCTGGACTCCGATCACACACGGGTTCGCGCCAAGATTTGCTTGCGTTTCGGAGGATCACCCAGATATGTATATGGTTGGTGGCATCCAGTTCCGGACTTGCCTGTCACTACAGCCTCCACGGGGACAGCCACAGGACGCCTGCGCCTACAGAATGATCATGAATGGCTTGCGCTACACTACCCACAGCTCCATCCACACACCCATATCCGGTGTAAACGCGAACGAATAAGACCGTGAGGCATGTGGATGGGAGGCACGTTTCAACAACGGAGCGGGCCCACACTCCTACCTGCACTGCAGCATTCCTGTCTACTTGGGAAATCATGCGTACCAGACGTACACAAGGCCGTTCTACAGTAGGTGGAATTACTCTTTGAGCCCAACACAACCACGAAAACCGTGCACTCTATCCACCCTCCCCTCAGGTAGGCACCTTCTCAACATCCACATCAAGCGTAGCCAGACATTGCGTATCACACGGGAAGTTTTGTGTTTCAAGCGCACGTCCGACAGACAGTCGAGTTTAGCCAGACTGAGACGACAAAGCGCGTCATTTGCTTCATCAGCCCCATTCTCGGCAGCTGCCAGTGACAGTGCGGATGCTGCATAATGACGTACACTCACATGTATTTGTCCACACTTGTGTATGAACTACCACAAACTGAATGGAGAAATATTAACGCTCGTGGAATATAATCCTACGAACATGCATGGTTTGGAATTTGAGGTAAAACTAACGACCATAGTCGTTATGGGAAATCGCACGTGCAAGAATAGGTGACCAGTACGAACTGTCGGTGTTTACTTAAGGTTTAGACGTGACAGCCGTAGATGTAGTCAGAAGCGCGGGCACTAAACGTAGAAAGATATGGGAATAGGGAGGCAAATGCCATCAATACGGTTACCAGGTGGGATGTTATAAAAATATGAGGTTCAGTAAGACAGTGATGACTTATCTTTAGTGTGTATTGTATAGGCAGTCTTCTATATATGAAAATCGGCTTGCAGCTGATGGAGGTCGCACAACGTGAGAATGCGACCCGGTGTTAACTGAAGTCTATCCGTGTCGCCGCTTAAGACTGGATCGATCCGACCGTCTCCTGTCCGAAATACGTGCGGATTCCCGAAGAACGTCTCTTGCCTAAGCATTAGCAGGTGGTAATATCACACACTCGCTGATGGCCTTTGGCAAATAAGTCCCGCCACTCACTATCAAACATCCGGATTCTGAAAAAGTATTTCCAAGAAGTACCATGGCTGTCATCCAACTACTCTTCCTTAGCCATTGGTGGATATGGCTGTGTACTCTGCTGTGGCGATAAGCTATTTGGGAACGATCTGTTATCGTACGTCTCGAGTGCAGCCATTTGGCGTTCCTCGACACTTGTAGCTGTGCACTCATTTCTTTCAGATGAAATATATTAAAGCACTAACATACCATCACAGTTTATTTTCTTTTAAGGCTATCCGAAAGATTGGCCATTTCTTCTTCAACTTCTAGCAGGCGCCTTTGCGTTTAACCCCCTTAGTAACTTCATTTTTATATGCTTAGTCAAACTCAATTCATCGGATAAACACGGGAAATATAGCTATGCCCACTCTCATAACTAACATGTCAGACAGCATGAAGCATAAACATCATGATAATCGCTGGTCAGTTGCTTATCGGGACTAATCACTTTCTACGGTTTTCCAGGGCGATTCTTCTTGGGAAGCATGGTCCAACGTCACCATTCACCAACGCTACTGGCCCCATCTCTTTCCCCTTGTCAGATGGCACTTCGGTGTGCTTTGGATCGCCTGAAACTGACCTCTTTATATAGGGCAGTCGAAACTTAGAAATCTATTCATTATTCAAACACTTCAAGCTAAGAAGCAGTTTTATTTTTGCACTGTACAGCTGAGATGACTTCATTTTGCATTCAGTTTGTCCATGTCCCTCGTAAGTGAAATCCGATGCTGCAATTCAGACTCATATCCTTGCTCGTTGCCCATAGAACGATTTTTGTCGGTTCACCCGATCCACGTGACGTTGTAATATGCACTCGGTATGACGGCAAATATCTCGGAGCAAGTAAAACCTGTTAGTTAAGAAGCGGTTTGAAGAGTATTAGGGGAGCAGTCTTACCATTTGGATGTGATATTTTGATGAATTCATCCAGTCAATCACTTCGACATTGAAAACCTTCGGCGCGCAAAATTCCAACTCTTGATCAGATAAGTAGCGGTGCAGAGTGGATGCTGCGTTCTCATATGAGGCATACTCAAAGATTGACTTTTCGCAGATGGGTAATGTAACTCAATAAAATTTTCAGTTACTTGCTTAACTAATCTGTGCATGGTCAGCTGGAATATCTAAGCTTCCGAGCCCTTAAATCCAAATGTAAGGACGATTGCAAATCGTTGATCTTGACATTTTTCCGAAAGTAAGATGTGATCTATGCGGTAGAAAATAAATCGGGTAAATGTTAACTAGTGGGACGCAAAGATAATGGAGAACAATGAGCAAAATAATGTGAGAGCTCAATACGTTTCAGAATGCGACGGCTCGTCGCAGGTTCCATTATGATTCCCTTATATCTCTGCCTAGTCGTTTCGGTGTTTGTCACTTGGTTCTTTGCATCTGTTCTGTCGACGCATAATCGTTGGATGGAAGCGGAAACTCGGAAGAAGGCGAAAAAACTGCGCAGTAACCAGTTGCACCAATTTATCTCTGTTACTTGCTGAAAGTCACACCTAAATACTGTTACACTTCATCATTGTCCACTGAATCTCCTCTCATGCAAAGTGAAGACCACGGCTCCCAGCATCGATATGACATAGGAACCACCCCATATTAGCGAAATAGGGCTGTGCAGTGAGACATCTCACTATTTTCGCTGAAACGCACCGGTGACTCAGTTGTAAACAAGCCTGGTTACTTTATTCAACCGATTGTGGAGAATAAGTTACCCAGGTCTGTCAATTTTCATGCGTTATCCCAATCCTGATGCGAGGATCATCGAGACATCAGTTCACTAGTTCACAAAATGAACGCTGGCTTCATCCCCAGCACTTGCGTTGATTACATTCAATACCGTGCCTGAAAGTGCCATAATTGCAGAGCACCTACCTTCTCTGACTTATGAACCTGTTTTAGTCAGGTTGGCCGCATCAGGTTTTGACACAGTTAAGCAAATTACTCATCCCGGAGTACCAGTCAACACTACAACTACAGACCCGAGCTACAGCTTTTCGGATGTGCTGCAAGCTTTTGATTCGCTCTATCTCTGAACGATTCACCAGAGAAATCCCTTAATATTCCGGAACTTTCCTACCGCAACTCTCAAAACTGTGTGAGAGTATGGAGTGACCCTGACTTAATCGAATCAATCATGGCAAATTTAGTATACGAGCGTGTAGAGTTCTTAAAGCGGTGTTCAGTCTCCGCTGAAGCGACTAAGTAGGTTGATGTACCGTACTTTTCGGAATATGCTCCGCGGTTGGGTCAACACATCACAGATTCTCACAGCCATCAAATGACCGATCAAAATAATCGGTCGGCATCGTTACATGATTGATCGTGTCATCCTGGATGGCCACTGGAGGGAGTGCTGATGATTTGAGCATGGCAGAAATCAAGTATACTTGATCAGTAACACTCCAGTTGCATTGTACGAATCTTTTGTGACCACTGGATGAGCAATGCTGATGCCCGTCAAGCGGTGTTTGGCGACAGGCCCTCTTTGGCCACACTAAGATTAGCCCTATTTATTTGTTTTGTGTACCTACTGGCCGGCTCACCTCGGTTGTTTAAAACTTCAACATGGCCATCTGATTACTTGGCTAAAAGCCGACTTCGATGACGTTGGTGTTGTGAGTTTCTTTGTCTCTCGCCCTCCCGCGTACTCTCCTATCCAACCACGGCCTCACTTCTTCAAGTATGATATGACATTTAACATTCTATTCCTTATTTTTCCTGGCATTTTGTATTGCGGCGCAATAGCTGATGTAGGTTTCTCACGCTTTAGCTAGGGAATAATTATCATTATTTAAGCACCGAGAAATCGGCCAAGTGGCTCACTAGACTAGTGCATGTCATCTTTCTGGAAACAGGCATCTGGATCACGCACACCATTAGTCCGTGACCTCTTTATTCACTACAGCATCGCTGTGAATTCAATGGCGTTCTCGCGTATATTTGTTGTTCTTGTGCTCAATAATATCATCTTTCCCCCATCAGTTCCGGTGTTTGGGATATCTTGCTTCTTGTTAGCTTTCCTTTTGTGTCGTAGCAAAGCTATTCATGGCAACTAGTGTGAGAGCACCCGATTAGCCAATTGAACCATTCTTACATGTACTATTTGGCGCTCAAGCGTACGACACCTACTTTTTAATCTGAAGGTTTATGGTTCGAATCTGCGTAGGCGCGGGCGCCCTTGCCAAATACCCACCTCTTGCGCAACCGGTAGTTGTCGCATGGAAACGAAGCGTCGGTAGGGTGTGTGCCGACCTGCTGCTGATGTATATTCCCATTTATGAATATCAGTATGCAGCGGTTTTTGATAATCCAGTCAATACACTACGGTAACGCTACATTTCCTAAAGTGGTACACCAGCTTGCGGCGCTTCGTGTTTCGCATAAAACTGCTCCGACTTCATTTTGGCATCATTTCGCTTCATCACCTGGCTCTCACTTTTACGAGTCTTGTTGACAGCGTCTCTGTAACATGCCCGTGCTGTCGTCACTTGTTTTGTTCTCTAATCTACCGGGTTCGAATTCTGTCGTTTATTGCCACTGCTTTGACATAATGTGCTAATCGATCTTCTCCGCTCAGTTATTCTTTGCGTTGTTGCAATCCTGTCAGCCTTCTCTACATACTTCGGTCTTGCAACTAGATGTGTGTGTGAGCGACTCGTTTTTTCCTCTATTTTCCAGAAGCATTTTGACGTTCAAATGTCTGAATTTCGAGTCGCCATAATCGCCTCCTGGTCGGAAAAGGAAGGTTTATCCGAAATCGAAGACTCCGACAGCTACCAAATGGTAACTTCTCTTGCGCCCACCATCCGTGTGAAGTGCAAAAAGCTTGATGACGATCAGTATTATTTTGTATCCGAACCCGTGGACATTTCTGAAGAGGGGTAATGATCATACAGAGCGTGAACTGCTTTTTGTCTATAAAATAAATGCACAAGACATAATTTTCTGCGTCTTCCACTCGCTGTTCTGTTACGTAACAGCTCGCTTCCAGCGAAATCTACGTTATCTTTGTACTCACTATGTGTCGATTTGCACACGCAGCTTTATACAAGTCCCAGTGACGTTATGAGCAGATAATAACGGAAATACTTGCAAGTATGTAGCTATCTAACTGTATGGTTTCGCACCAGGGAAACGGTGTCTTATCGATATCTCCGAGGCTACAGATTCAAGTTAGCACTTAGAGTCTCCAATGCCCGAGTAAACCGATGATACTTCCATTCACCACGGCATTTTCAACAACGTTTCTTCCAAATTTTTGCAAATATGAGCGTATAGAATATAAAGCCTTTCTTTGGAAGTAGCTGCCTTGGCTATCGAAAAGATTATCGATAGCCCCCTAAGCTTGATTTCTGATCACTCTTGTGAGTTGTTTCGGAGTCAGTAATTTTTTGGGCGTTGACAAGAAACTGTTCTTGCCAGTTGCTGGATAAAAACCTATCTATGCGAGTGGTCGCTTTTGTTGTAGATGCTGGACACCACGTGCAAGCAGGCAGTTCATTTGCTTAGTTGATAGGAGCACTGAAATCCGATTATCCTGATTGCCGTGCGTCGCGTCGCTATTTCAAAGTGATTGGCATCGTTATCATCGTCAACAATAGTACGTTGGCACCTTTTTCAACCGCTTCATTGCCACACGGTGATCAAAGTAATAATAATAATAATAATAACAACGTCAGCTGTACGCCGTAACGGCGCTTCGCTGCCGCGCGACCACCACCAGTCGCGCACGGTCTGAGTATACCGCGAGGTCGCCCATCCCTACGCGGAGTCGAACCGGTGACCTTATGGTTGCAAACCAAACGCGCAGACCACTCGGCCACCGGCCGAATAAAAGTTAGGCCTGGGGCTAATCCTAAACAACAGATACCCAGAACCAGAATAAATCTTCTTATCTGACAGCACGCAAATACCCCTTCGGAAAATTCCCGGCCAAAGAAAATAAGTAACAAATAATTAATCGAAGGAAAATAAAGCGAAGGCACCATGTGGGACGCAGCGTTCATCTGCTGATAGCTAGCTGGGACGGTTTTCTTTTAATACACTTGTTCGAACTAACTTCGCCACCATAAATGGCGCATGTAAGTGCACCCTGATCAGCAGTACGGAGGCTGTTCAAATGCATAACTTCGTTAAGAACCTCTTAATTGGAGCTTTCATGTCAGTTGGTTATAGTTCGACCACCTACCTTTGAGGTTGACGGACTGAAAAGGCCCCACCTAACGAACCGTGCAGCGTTTTGTACGATGAATGACGACCAGGGAACCGTCCCCCATTGTTTCCTTGATATCGCTTCAAGGGGCTAGTGGTGTGGATTCAAGTCAAGTCAAAATAAGCTTTATGAACCCTAGCATTTACACGACCTCTCCGGATAAAGTGAATAATATCATTAAACATAGTTGGGGAGAAATTAGAAATATACACAGCTGTCATTCCGACAACTGCTCGCGCAGTATATTTATAACTATCGCTGGCTCAAAAATACAAACATGATAGATACGGCAAAACAGTATTGCAATAAGGTGACGTGCGAGAGAACGAAATTTTGAATTTCGAATGCGTAGAAGAGAAAGAGAGCGTTTCTGAAAAAATAGGCATCAGCAGTACGCCGATCCGCATTACCGACGCTTTGCTGCCGCGCAACCACCACCGGTCGCACGAGGGCGAGGGTTGCCCTGCCTCTACGCAGGCTCGAATCCGCGCCAAACATGCGTGGACTAAGAAAGATTCCTGGACGAAGACTCCGAGATACTTGACATTGGATCATCTGGGTATGCGATATTCAATCACAATAATGTGTGAGGGAGACATCTGTGAAGGACTGCAGTTTATCGCCAAGAGAAAAAGAGAACATTACATCACTACATTTTGAAGCGTCAAGTGTAATGGATCTGGATGAAGACCACTCCATCAGGTCTTCCAATCCGCGTTAAAGTGATGAGGAATTCTGAACAGAGTTTGGGTCACCCATTTCAACACAACATTGTCAGCATATTTGCATCCTATAAACGTGGTTTGTATGGGGAGGCATTCAACATGCAGAGAATAGAAAAGGTGATAGAATCGCTCCCTGCAGAAAACCCCAGTCGACACAGAGGACAGATGATTTCTTACCGTTTAACTTGGCAACAGATTACACAAACTCGAGTGAATTCCATTTTCAGTTAGCAGATTCAGCAACATTGATTTATCCAGGCTTTCAAAGGCATTTGAATAATCCAGGTAGAGAAGCCGTACGGATTTACATTTTTGATGTAATGCAGAGGCTATAGAATGAACAAGATATGCCACTGCATTTAATGTGGAGCGCTGAGGTCTATACGCAAACTGGTAGATATCGTCCTCAGGAGTGACTGCAGAAATCTGCGGAATTGAAAATTTTTTGAAAACCTTAAGAATGATAGTTAAGATGATACTTTTGAGATCCATTTCTCAGTTCAAACGTTATACTGGCCGATCTCCTAATGTCTGGGATCACACCTATAGTGAGGCATATATTAGAGGCAGTGAGAGATTATTTGGAACTGTCCTCCCAAAATCTCTGGGCCAGTCAGTCTTGTCGATAATCTCACACCCACTCGTTCATCTGATTATATGATTTTCGACGTGACTGAACAGACTTATCTGATGAAACGAGGAGCTCCAGGTCCCACCAGACTCCCTAGCCATTCGAGTATCGGGTTTTCAGAACTGCGACAACTGACAGTACCACAAGCAAACGTTTCGGTACACGCACGGCAAAAGGATTTCCGTTGGTATCATTCTATAGACAGTGAAAGCACAGCACGCGTCGCCTGTTGCTCCAGATCGTGAGATTTTCGATTTTGCACGCGCTTACTTTGTCCGAATTTATCACCACGGTAATCTGCAATAATGTGTAATCCCGCTTTCCGTCATAGTTTACGGTACCCATAATGAATTACATCGGAACTAGCGCCAAAGACTACTTTATTGCTGCGTCAACCCCTCCCCACTCTCCCGAGGAGTTCTCCGTCACGTTAACTGTCGATATTACCAATTCTCGAGACCGAACTGGAAACCACGACGCGGCAGATTTCCGATGTCACACGCTTCTGTCAACGTGATGTCATGGGAATTGCATCAGGAACTAAGCTATAAGGTTTCACCGTCAGCTTGGGGGGAGGTGCGGTCACATTGCGCATGTGCCGTTGAAGTCAGATGCGGCTAATGAGTGAACCGGCATAAACAGCGAGCCAACGGTAGGGGGTTGAACCGAGCAAACCACCTTTTATGTTCCCCCACACAGACTGTGCGATGACCGACAAAACTCAAGGATACGATCCGGATCTTATTGGTTACAATTTAACTACTTGATAACAGCTTCGAAAATAGGATTGAAAGGGAATCATTGTAGGGCGTTCACACAGTATCAGTTACTGAGGCTTCTTCAGTTTGAGCTTTCATGGTTAATGCCGCACGCACACTCGGAAACATAAGCAGTATGGTGTAGCAGAGAGTAGAGAGACGTTTCTATCCTCGCAGTGTACCGAAATCAAGACGGACTGCGTATATGATCGGTGCAGGACACTCTGAGACCTGGTGGAGGCTTAAGATGTTGATATATTCTAGTCCCACAAGGCAGCCCTCGCGATGATGTTCACTAATGGAAACTCTAATCATGGTAATACAGTGTGGAAAATGTCAAGGCGCTACTCATTCACCGCGATGCTTCGCCGTAACCGAGAACAGCCAACTCCACTCATAACGACCAAGCGAGACGCTAGGTACCGCTGTCTACCGAACTATTCCTAATTGGAACCGGCACGTGCGAAGGCACGAGATCTCCAAATCTATAGATTGGGACTCATGCCCAACCAGTAACCTCTCAAAATAAGCGCTACATCAAACCACATTCGGCAAGGTTAATCGAAGGGTCACGCGTTACGTCGGATAGTTAGACTTTTTGATCGTGGGAGCCATACGGACAATTCAGGAAACCTGCCACTACGGTTCGGCAGCTACGTGACTTTGGCTGGCCACAAATCGCCACGCTTCACACTGACCGAGTGTCGCTACTTTGCAGACGATATCCAACATCAATAAGCTTGTGTGCGGGCTTTAACGATCACTATTACCAACATTAGTACTTTGGGATAATGCGTCGCTACTGTACAACTGGAATAATCGATGGACTGATAAATAACGAACAGAAGGGTGACCCGGTGTAAAACCTTCACACTCTAAGGGTCAATGCGCCTACGACTTGTTGACAACAAACGGTCACAAACAGCTGGCTACCATTCGAAGATCAAGTGGCATCGACCAGACAGCTTGCGGTTTTCACTGCTCCATGCCTTAATCAGCTTCGACTTACAGATAGCATCAGACACTCTTTAAGCAGACGATTTGATTGAAGAGACGAAAGCAATCGCACCACTGGTATGGGCTGCGATTCATAGTCCCGAGCTAACCACATGTCTCGTTGCGAACTCCAAGTTGGAAGGCTAGACTAACCAACGCCAACCCAATTTGGTCATCATCGACTTATTTTAGCTGTCAGGTCAACCATAGCCCGCTGTGAACCTTGTGTCATCCTACGCTCGGTAGAGAAACAAGGTTCTGCGTAGGCGTCGAGCGCGCATACGTCTCTCATGTCCAAACCAACGCAGTCTATCCAATCTTACTGCAATAAGGAGACAATCTGTTTACCATCGCCTGCGCGCATCGTCATCGTGGAGGTACTGGTGCGATCCGACACCGGCACTACCCCGCAGGTAACGATGATCGAAGATGCCTCAGATCGGAGGAGCCAAGCTTCGCCTCCATGCAGCAGAAGTATCGCCAATGGGACCTTGTAAGCGTACTCTTCGACCGACGGATAAACATAAATGCTTGAAATGATTGAGCATATTTGTAGTTCGGGATGTTCAAGTCAATATAGGCTTTATGTATCTGAGAGGGTGCATTTTACAATAAATACAGCGGATGGATTAAAATGGCAAACATAAAAACGCAAATTCATCGATTGAAAAGTTGGCATCGGGTGCAGTTGTCACCCGAACATGGTCCGGTATATGTATGTAATAATTTCCGTTGAAAAAGGGAAAAATTAATATTTGCTTTCTGTGTCGGATCTCAGTCTGTTAATCGGGACTATGGTTCGTTAAGTTACAAAAGCGCATTTGATAAATTTACGTGCGGCATCTCAAAGCACGTTTTAAAAATCAGCACTGGTGATCTTGAAATAGGATGACGGAAGAAAATGTCAATAATATTCGGTGAAGATTGTTGAATCAGCGGCAGACAAGGTAAAAACAATGTTCCAATGAAATGGCAACGGCCGATTTATAAGCCCCGCTGTCAACTAACGATGGAGATGTTAAGTCGTTTTCTAGGTTTGGTGGTTTAGCTGCAAATGTATCGTTGACAAACTAGGCAAATTTCCAGAAGAAATGGGAGGTTTGCACTGATGATATTGCTTAGTCCGGTAAAGGAACGTTTGCAGCTAGAATACCCAGCTTGGAGAAAATCTGAGCATCTGATTTGAGGGGAGGGGATGATTTTTGTACGATACAGTTTTAAACGCAGTTGTTTGTTTGCAAGTACGATGTGAAAACGACTAACACGTTGGACACTGAATATCAGATTGTTGAAATGAGTATATTCAGCAGAATACAAATAATATGCGTCATATAAGTAGCAAAATACAATGGTACTCATCTTCAAGCATCAAGGCACATGGGTAGAGAAAACAAAGTAGATCAATAGTGAACAAATGATTCTGAGCATGGACGGCGACCCTGCGGTTTGAAGACAGAGCTTCGGAAGGAGGAAGGCGCCCATTGGAAATCTGGGCAAGCAGCGTGGGGAGATCGACCATAACACCCATGCAGCAGTGAAAGTTTGGGCGTGGATCACATTTGGCGTTTGCAGTCAGCAACTACTACCGGAGGCCACACCCGACGACTGGAGCGGAATCACTTTCAACTCGGATCGCATGCACAAAAATTCACCCATCACAGTGGTCACCACAATGGAGACGACATTGGTAATCCACCAGAGTGGAGACTGTGGAAAGCGGCGTGTGTACAATATGCAAAATATCATGTGCCAAAAGTACAAGGTGCATGAGAAGTCCAAGCACTGTTTCGTCCGGTTCACAAAACGCCACAACCCAAGACTGCAGAACAGTGGGGAGATGAGGTAGGCAGCGAAGATAAATTTGCCCGAAGTGACAGCGAGGCGCAGCTCGTGGTCATCGAATAGCCAACTTAATTGAGGGCCAGTGTGCAGAAAGCATATGGCGCTCAAAATGAGCAGGACGCCTGTGGACACATAAAACAAACATTGCATGCACACCATCTGGCTGATAATTAACACTGGATCCCATGTGTTGCTGCGGAATTTGGGAGCCATGTAATAGGAGGACGAACAGGAAGGAGCTGAGGGTGGGAAAATGTGGGAGCAGTTAGTAAGTGATGCAAACCAACACACAATAAACGATGATGGGAGAGTCCAGAGAAGTGAAGCCGATCAATTACAGCTTTATTTAATCTAGAGTTTTGTACACTTGAAAACATGTCTAGTAAGAAAAGTTCGATAGGGAGAGAAGGTGAAAGAAATATAACTTCAAATTTCAAGTTTTTGCAGACTGTGTTATTTTGGAAGCGAAAATAGTTGACAAACCAACTGCATCGGTTAGCGTTTCCGCGCGAGCCCCAGGATATTACATGTCTGCAGTGATAGGAATGGAAATTGGACAATAATTATGGCAAATTGGGTGACATCGCATTCGTGCGCATAGTCACAGTTAAGCACAGTTAAAGAGAAATGATGTCGGGTGAAACCGGCCTTCCTTGTTTGCGACACCATGATCGCATAAGTTACTACTGAACCCTTAATATTGCAGAGGACGCAGTAGTAACAAGTATGTAGAGGACCGCCTAGTAACGATGCTAAAAATGGATTTTTTTTTCTCACTCTACTCGGCCACATACACTGCAAAATTCGTGTCCTCAAGTAGCAGTTGTGAAGAAAACAGCTAATCCGCTTCACCAATCGTCATAAAGGTGCTCCGGAATCATTCAATGACAGACGTACGCATTGATAAACTACTTGGTAAACCGCAGTATTGTCGCACCAAAACAGCACGTTTTTCGTTAACAGTGATGGTGTGCCACGAAGCCACTATTGTACGTGGCATCAAACCGAGATCATAGATGGTAGGGGGAAATTAAAGTAAAGTAATTGAATCCGTGGGTACATTTGAAGCACTCGTTATGTGATTGGATTGCGACGCGCAATCTCACGCGGTTCGCATTGAACTGAGTATTGGTGAATCCGACCACTAGAACCGAAATTGATGAAACAGGAAGATAGTGGATGCTACCAACCCAAAAACAATATACTCCTTGACGTGTTCCGATGTTATTTGAGCTCATCAGACAGAAAACAAGCATCGAATCCGGGACCATTGGTATGTTAGTTTGGGACTCTACTCCTTGAGCGACCGAATCACGACGAGCAACGCTTCACCCAAAGGTTGACGATTGGCTAGTGGGTCAAGCAACGCTACCTCAGTGATCAACGCACAGGCATTGAATGACCTAAGCGGCTGTCATACCTTGGACTGATGGAGTAATAATGACCACTATTTAGCCTTGTATAACTTCTACTCTTGACCAAAAAGCAGACATCTCGGCACCTCCACAGACGATCGCAGCGTTGAAAAGTTAAAAGGACCCTTTAGCCGTATCAGCATTGTAACGCCCGTCAGCTGACCACCGGCGAAGAAGCAGCTATGAAAATAATTGTACTGATTTACCTCTACGAATGAGTACAGTGTCAGCCCAATCCCGGATCAGATCTGTGAACTTTGAATGTGGGTAAACGTGCGATGCTCCGCGTAAGCCTGATCAGCAGCGGGAAAGACCTCAAGAGAACTATATGGTTCAAATCGTCTACGCATATTAGTCGGCCAACGCAGCACCACAGGTGAGAACATGCGAGCATGCATCATCAAATTGCTACTGGCCATACAGAATGTCCGGGTAAGACTGAGGCATTCTGCGGAGCGATTGCCATTGGGTGTAGTTGGCTGAATGTGAAGCTATACATGTCAACCTTAACACCATACTTAACTCTAAGCCCTCATTTTACCGCAGCGGGGTCATAAACGGTCGACCCTCATTTTCCCAAACGGTTTTGAATAAAGTCTCCCCCACACTGGCTGAGAAGAATTAGGATTCAATCCCATAACGGATTTGGCGCAATATTTTTGTCGCCATGACATACCAAAAATTGCGTACGCTGTAGCCACTACTTGACGCATTCTGGCACACTCCGTAAATCGTATACGTCCATGTGCACCGAAGGTTCAGGGCGTAATTTCATCATCGTCGGGCAAACTGAAGCTCTGTCTCGAACACCGTGCCCTCGAAAACGACGTAATTGCAGTTGTGTCTGCTAACGAAGATGTGCGTCCGTTGCAGTAAAATGTCGTCCGTCGTGTTCCAGTCGCGGATGTCGACGCCTGTGAGACACCTGCACAAAAGTCGATTCTTCAACATGGCACTAAGTTTACCGAAAAGAATAACAACTGAAGTGTAGCAGCTTTTCCGCCACCGCGAGTCACTGGCTGTTATTGACCCCTGCCTTGCGTCGACTGAGCGATCCGCGTTACCGTCGTCCCATCAACTATCCTCGGTCAGTTTCGCTCTGACCATCAGGATATCAGCAGGATTAAGACCATCGACTCGGCTACGTATACCATGTGATAAACTTATCGATAGCCGTGATCACACTCCCAGCTGGTCTTCGCTGATCCGATCGACGGAGTATCGTATCTTGTCCTTGTTGGGTCAAAGTGGCCAGAAGCAACAGTATTCAATCCAGTAACTTTCACCAGAACGATCGTCGATCTTTGTGATACTCAGCCAGTATGTGTTGCCAAATATACCTGTTTCGGACAAATGATTCCAGTTCACCTCAACCCAACTCACGGATTTCAGCCCTGGTGTACTGCTCATAGGCGATTAACCAGGCGAGTGCCTCACTGAGAGGTGCAAGCCAGCGCTTCGGAAATCTCGTGGAGAAGTGACTACTGATGTGATCAATCGACATTCTTGGTTGTGTGTCCAACAACAGCAGACTTGATGATGCCCAGTAATAACGCTCCAGTCGAGGCTTTACTGAGCTGCAATCTGCACACCGTGCACCAAGCATCTGTCCAGAAAAAAGGGTCCGCCTTAATTACCATCTGCATCGAAGCATCGCGGCATCGTAATTGATATCTCTGTGAACATTCAGAACTACAAATCTGGGTACGATAAATGGATCGTTGCTGCCAGCGAGAATGATTAGTTCGAGACAAAATTGTGGACAGGAAAACGTGGAATCGGCACCCATAGCAGTTTACCCAATGATAGGCAAATAAGGCAAAAGACAATGGTCGTTGATCACTCCGAATGGACGTCCGACTGAACACTTCAATTCCGCGCTTAGAAGCCATGAAGTGTGCTCCCTCTAAAGCCGAGATCGACAACAACCTCTTACCTCATCGATTAGGATATAAAGTTCGAAGCCCAGTTCGCCGCCTGTAGTAGATTTCAGGAAACATTTTTTACGGACAACCACATCTGAAAAGCGTCGGCCGGTGGCTGAATATATACCTTGCAATCCAGCAAGTCACCGGTTAAAATATGTGCAGATGTAGGCCGACGCGTGATCTATGGTGGTTTCTCACGGAAGCAGCTTCATTAAAATGACATAGTTTTAAAGAATTTGCTGAAAATGAATATTGCAGTTTTTAGAGTTCTTAAGTTTCTGACGCTATCGATATTATTCGAGAAAACTGTCACTTTGTTTTGCTTGCTTCTGACTGGTTGGTCGTCTCATTTGGACCATTGAGCGCTTGAATCTTCAGATGCGACCGCACAGTTGTACATACGGACCACCTCTGATACAATAAGAGAGGAAGACATCAGCAGTACGGCGGTACGCAGCACCAACGCTTCGCTGCTGCACAACCACCACCAGTCGCACGCGGACTAAGGATAATGCGGGGATCGCCCAGTCCATACGCACGCTCGAACAGGCGCCCTCAGATTACAAGGCAGGCTTGTAATCATTAAGGCTACCGTCCGGCCCCTTGATTGATGTGTTACACCGGTCCAATCGCAGTTGCAATTTCAGCAGAACCACTTGTTTCTTCTCCCTGAATTTGTAGGATAGGGGTAGAGAGCGTTGCGCGAGTGTGTAACTGCATACCTGTCGGTTGAGCACGGTGTATCCTGTCTCAGTAAGCTATAGGTGAAGTATCGTTTATATCATCATGCATAGCCTGGAGCATCTCGAAACTGCTATTCTACTAGGTTGATTTCGCGCCTATGTTAAACTATACACGTTAAAATAGAGCAGTCCCCTGAAGTTTCACTTACCGGAGGAGAATCTCTTTACCCGATAACTCAAGGGCCTTAGATACTTCCATACTGATGGGTTTTTCTTTAACATTGCTTAGGGAGGCAGTTCGCATCGTAAACAACCGTGAGCGACTGAACCAATAGCGTCGGTACGCCGTATGTTAGAGATCACTAACCTGTTTTGCCTCTCGGATGTGGCGTCCATATCGATAAGTGACGAGGATACATTATAACAGACTAGGATAGCAGGTTAGGATCAAAGTGAGCTGAAATTGCTTTTATGCTAACTTTAGTTTTATGAATGAGTAGTGGGGGTTTTATTTTATTTTGTTTATGTTTGTATGTAGTGTGTAGTGTTTACAGGTAGTTCATCGCAATCACACACGTCTGGAAAAGCACCAGACGGCCGTTTCGGCCTGGACCTCGTCAGTGGCGCGCATTCTTCAGACCCCCCACGATTCCCACTCCATGACTTCCGGATGCCAGCAGCTTGTGCCACTAGGCCATGGGTGACGGCGGCGGGACTGCTTGAATGACAGTTGACTGCGATGTATCGCCACTCATCATCAACATTGGCCTTGGATGATGTCAAACGTTTATGACTCTAGTTGAGCACAATGCTTTGGTCGGGATAGTGACAGAATCAGCTCTATTCACACTCAAACTAACCACAACGGCAAATTGTCGCGAAAACCATTGATCACGGCAGGAATGCTTCTGTCTGCTGATTCTGAGATTCTCGATGCAGTAACAGACTCAGGATTTGCAATAGACGCGTGTAGAATAATGGCATCTAAACACCTCCACGGAGTGACGTGTGGGTTCACCATTGCCCTAAATCAACAGTAACTACCGTTGCGATAGGAAAGCCGTGAGAAGAGCTCAATATATGGCGAATATTAGAGAAGTAAACATTAGAGGTTCGTGCTCCACACACTATGTAAACACAAGAGCACAAACAGCTGATTATCGTAAGAAAATAAATCGGCGTTGGCGAGATAGCTCTCTTACTGCATCAAATGCGCCACGTCGAGGCCGACATCAAGCACACTTTAGGTAAGCAATCACATAGCAGACAACAAAAAACACATAAGTGGTGTCGGCTGTGAGGTATGGAGCCAAACACGCATGGATTACAATCTAGAAAGCGAGAGGCACCAACGGTACTTAGTCTGATGTTCGGTTATTTCACTTCTGTTGTCAGATCAAAGAGTGCCTCTCCGAATCTGACTTGATCACAAGGTCGGCAAGCAAAGCGTGACTCTCATCAGTAGGCGATGGCCGGGTATAAACACAACACCTGTTCAGGCCTGCGTAGTCGGTCGGCAGGACTTCTAATTCTGTCGTACTAACCTGATCGCCGCCACGTGCCGGTCATTTGCGCGGAGATTCTGATGCCACCAGACTAGATCAGTGCTTGGTACGGCAAATATGGTCGGAGTCCTGAAGCCCTCGGAATGAAGAGCCCATACATCTCTGCCGTGAATGCCTTCTGAAACTCTCGCGATCAGGTCAAACTTCTTTTAGCACCGAAGTAATCGTACACTAAAAAAGCGGTCCAAGATTCTATACTCATACACTCAGCACGGCTGACGCAGTTGTAAAAACAACACTGATCGATTGGCCATCCTGCTTGCTGCGCACAATGAACGCGTGACTTCCTAAGAGACCTTCTGCCTTATTGCAATTGGTTAGCGAGTCCTCAGAAGGCATTAGATCACTAATGCTCAATACTCCACAACATTCGATTGTGCTGAAAGAGCCATCTGGTGGACTGAAAAATCGCAAGGCAAACGACATTCTAACATTGCCTTTCCAGGTAAAAAAGACAGCAAAGTGAAAAGCAAAAAAATACATGATGCAAAGTAGACAACAGCTATTATGAAAACGAATCACGTACCACATTTCCGAGAGCACAGATGCCATCGCGTAACATGCTACTGACTGCCTTGAGCTGTAACTTGGGGGAAGGAGGGAGAGAACATTGAGATGGATGAATATAATCAGACGAAGGCAACGAAAACACGAGCGAGTCACACAAACGAGACAGGTGAGTGATGCGGAGTGTCCCTCGAGAGTGAAAAAAGAGCACACAGCAGCAGCATAAACGAGAGATCGCAACCTAATCCTTCAGCAAGCGAATATTCGGCAAAGGTAAGGGGGCCGCCCTGGCCTATGGATGGCAATAACGTGTAAGTCAGTGGATAGTGTCGGTCGATGCCATTCTCCGTAGCCCAGTTGTCTTCACCACGAACTGGTAACAATCGGGCGGCAGGACTCAGATAGAATGTGTACTCCTGACAATTCTTGAAAGGATGAAACGGCCGTACAGTGCTTGTCCGGGCCTATGATTGGTCTGACTGAGTTTAGATGTAGTGAAAGTCTAATCATATTATACAAGTTCGACTACTCCCTCGATATCTATTTTTAGTGGAACTAAGGCATTCACTGTAGTGACGTGCTTTTTAATAGGAATGAAGAGATGTGGAACGAAACTGGAAGCGAAAGTAGTTATGTAATTACGCTGCTTCTCTCAAATTTTGTGCTATTCTACTCAAAACATTGTTGGAATCAAAAAATTGTAACCCCATTTGAAATCGTAAATCGGTGATCTTGACAATAACATGTTCAAAAGAACGGTTGCCTGTCAGCATTCAAATCCAAGAGAGGTCATGACATTGGTTAAAATCAATAGTGATGAACCGAAGCAGCCAAGCACCGAGTAGGCGGAGATGCTACATGGTGCGCGCAGACATTATGGAATTCTCCAACAAACGTCACTGATGGAAATTGTTTTTCGTGTGGAAATTTTACTTATTCAGGGACAAGTTTACTTTTGTTCGGATAGAATGTGTAGGGCAAGACAGTTTTTCACTCTTTGGTAAAGGTACTTAATGAGATCAGACATTTTTGCGTCATGAGAGGAGAGGTAAAATGACTTTTACCTGGGTAAAACCATTGGCAATGTATGCCAATTCGATTCCTACGAATTCGGAACACATTGCCTACAAACGAACGACAAACATGACTGGGCCGCGAGTGGCTGTAGAGGTCCGGCTCCCTAAGTTATTAACATCACAGCACGTCTCGAACCTGATGAGCCACTGACAGTCCTAATTAGCGATCAGCGGCCGCACATGCTTAGACTAAATGAGGCAATCACTATCGATGACTAGCAGTTGACTGTGCCATGTTAGCACAAGCGCTTGGCCATCTAAGATCACATACAAAACTGTGTTTGTTTATCTATCACTGCTGTGTGTTTGCGATTGATAAGCATGCACGGAATGGTGACGTCATCTCGTAAACTACGTCTTCTGATTTTCCCGCTTGGAATTATAAAGAGAACCGTCGGAAGCAGCGTAGGACCCGCATGGGTGCGATTGTGTGTGCAAAGATGTTTGCAGGGCAGTCCAAGTCAACCGAAGTGAACTTTTCTAGAAGGGTGGTATGACCAGCGCCGTGTGGGTGAACATGAAATATGTGGCAAATGACAGTTATGATACTGGAAACTCACGTTCATCTGTTTTAAGGAACGTAAATCGTCTATACGGGTTCGAAGGAAAGTCCACGAGTCTTCCAAATTCGGTGATCGGTCTTGCAACATGTACACCTCAGTTAGATTGTACACGTAGGCCAGCCCCAACCGTTTCGCGTACCATGTCATCTGGAATATACAGGCGGTAATGAAATTAGACAAAGGAAACAACGGACGTACCACCAATGTAGTAAAATAAAACAGAGTAAAAAGACTGTGCGGTTCGGATGGAACATGAATAACCACACATTAATTGAGATTAAACAATAGTGATATACATACGAAACTGATGTTGATCTAGAGGGTTGGCGGATGGAGCAGTCCAGTAATGGTTCATGTAATCAGAAGCATGAATTTAAAAGAGGGGACCTTCGTGATAACAACTGTGAACTATTAGCAAGCTGATGTCCCTAAGGCATATGGAATTCGGCATTGAACTGAGCTGTTTAGGGAAAAGCCTACAAAAAAGTCTAATGAAAAGCTCAGTCAGCTATGTAGACAGTTAATCCAAAGCTCGGTTAATTCTAAGTGTCCAAGAGTAGCCGTACGCCTCGACAAGAAACGCAATCCAAGTCAGTAACGAATTCGCTCACCAGACACCGAGCAACCACGCGAACAGTCACGACGAACGCACACAGTGAAGAGAAGCGACAACGCCAAACGAAATTTGAAGAATTATTGTATCGACTCAGATAATTAAAATAATTGCACAGTAAATAGTGGAATATGAAACAATAAAGTACAATTGAAAAGTGTGAAGTTTATAAACGCTACAAACTCAGGTGGTCCGCTGTGACGCCATCATTCGCTAAAGGATGTGAACCAACCTTGGATGCTGATAACCCGCCCTCTGTCTCCAAAAAAACTCCATATGTACTACCGTCCTAAAGTGGAAAAAAGCGCCCGGACCCGACAACCGTCCATTTATTCAAAAAAAACGGTGGAGATTCTCTACTAATCTCATCGTTCTGTACAACATCACGTACTGCGCTGCAGAGAAGGCCTTCTGACCAACCGTCATCGGCTATGTATCTGTCAACTCGAAAGAGAGTAAAAGGGCGTCGCGTGTTATTAGATCAATTGTTTTTATACTCCTCACCGCACTCCACTGACGTCGCGAAAGGTGGGTCAAGAGGATCATTCCTTTGGTTTTGAATAAACTGACCCCAAGTTTACGCTTCCATAGATATCCGGATAGAATTAAGAAGATATAGGCTGACGGTAGAAATTCGAAGATTACCCGACAAGGTCGACCGATCCTCCACCCCTCCCGGCCGTCCATATGTGCCGACTCCGTAACGGCCCGGTCCGACTTGGCACATGATAGGTGACGTCTCGTGTGAACAGTACAAGAAACTCCTATATTCCCACATCATGCTTCCTGGTGATCACAGACTAAGTGAGCGACTGAGCACCGCTACACAATTCATCTTATAAGATGCCTATTCCGGTAAAACAACCAGACACCAATTTCAAAGCATGACAAACAAGAGACAGGCGCGACTTGCAAACAAAAGCAGCCGATCGCGCTCCAGCAATAACGAAACTAGATCTACTGGGTGATGATGAAAGGTGAGGTGCAGATCGATCACCACGGTGTGTGCCTGTACTGCACATGAGCTCCGTCGACAAATTCCACTGCACCTGCAAAACGAACCATATGCCCGATTGGAGGGCCATTTTGACGCGCGCGTTGCGGGGATGGACTGTGACGCGCAATCTCAATGTTGTCCGCGATTCCCATTGAAGTGAAGCTCATTCGAGCACTAGGACCGCGGGTGAAGCAAATAGAAATTGGGTGTTGCCCACTACTACTAGGTTCTGAGTTCCACCCCAGCTCAGGCTATCTCCACCTGACGAGTCCAAACCAGGACAAAACCGCGGTCGTGGTGTGCCAGTGTTGGGAAGAGCAACACCCAAATATTTCCATTTCAGCTACGGTCTTCGAGATCGGAATGACCGAAGTTTACCTCAAAGTGAACCGACGTCGCTATAGAGGTTGTGAGTCGCAACCCAACCACACAGCATGTTCCCTAAATTCAGCTTTGACTTGCTATCCGCTGTGCCAAAGGTTGCTCGCGGATCTCAGTAGCATAGTGTTCAGGGCGTCAGCCGTGAACTACCAGGTTCTGAGTTCCACCCCAGCTCAAGCTATCTCCGCCTGACGAGTCCAAACCAGGACGAAACCGCGGTCGTGGTGTGCCAGTGTTGGGAAGAGCAACACTCAAATATTTCCATTCAGGATACGGTCTTCGAGATCGGAATGACCGAGGTTTACCTCAAAGTGAACCGAAATCTCTATAGAGGTTGCGAGTCGCAACCCAACCACACAGCATGTTCCCTAAATTCAGCTTTGATTTGGGTGTTGCCTGTTTTTTTCGGACGGGCAACACGCAATTTCCATCAACCAAGTGCCCATTGAAGTCACGAGAAGTGGGAAGCGGTATGTACAGATAAGACAGAAGATTGTTTCAGTGTGACAAACAACACAGTCTCCTCGTAAACTCTAAGACGGAATTCGGGCGATAAGGCTTTTTAACTGAGGTAGCCGTCAGTGCTCGGTGGTGATGAAGTGAAAACCATGACTAGAAAGAGTAAAACAGCCGAATTCACAGCGCTAACGAAATCATAACGGTGAAAGAACACAAAGGCTGCCGTTTGACCAGATTGCGCAATTGCTGCTGTGAAGACACTCGTTCGAATCACAACGTATTGATCCACATATGAAGGGCACAAAACAAAACAGTAAATCACCGAGTGGTTCACCGAAGACCACTCATGCATTTGTGGACGACTCCAATGAGACATACGCACTTTGTCACAAACTGCAGATCAAGGTTAGGTTCACTAGCAGTGATCGCCCACAAAAGGTGATCCTAAACTTTCGGTAGGGCCCAGCAACAGAAAGCCTCACTCGAATCGTGGACATCCGAAGTTCAGTACAGTTGAACAACTGTGATCCGATCACCGAAGTGTGAAGGATCCAGTTGCCACGAATGACATCGCAAGAATAACAATAAATAACAGCGGTAAAATAGTGGGGTTAAGTGCACATAAAATGGAGATAAATATGAGAAAGAAGGAAATGCTCTAAACTAATCAGAATGGAACGCCAATCAGCAACCAGATACAAGAAGCCGAATGCATGAACACCACTGATTGCGTATGATAGCACCATGTCTGATACGGTCTCCAACCATTAGTGTGGACCATCCCGAGGTCCCCATCCACGAAGACGGCACGCACTCGCCTGACCAAGTTTCTCAGCCACCCTGCAGTTTCGCCTAACTTAGTGCAGTCAGGATGTGTAATACACATCGAAAGAGCCGATCCAACGGGCATACGGAGAACATGGCCTAGCCAACGCCAGCGACAAATATGTAGCAAATACTCGAGTGAGGCACCAGAAGGCTTTTTTGCCAAAAACCAACTGGTAGACCACATCATTGCTCACCCGATATTCGCATCAGACATGAGGAATACTCCGCAAGCACCGGTGGTCAAACAAGACCAAGCGTTTAATGTCTTCGCAACGAACTGGCCAGGTCTATGGTACATGCGATGAAATCGGCCTCATCACATTGTTATACATTCTACCTTTCACTGACAGGCTGATATCCCGCCTACCCCATAGATGGTTGAGCCCTTGGAAAGTCACACGGGTCGTGCGAGATAAACATTGGAGATGATCCGGTGATCAATGGTGTTAAAGGAACGAATCAATCGAGCCTGACTGACCGAAGGCCAATGCAAGCTGCTCTAGACAAATGCGCAAATCTATCCCACTTGAACAGAACTCAAGCTCAGATTCAGTGCAGATCTATGTATGTTCAACAGTTGACTTCCACTCCACAGGTGAATACGTACAAATTTCGGTGTTTTGTATCATACCATTTTATCCGTTGCCGCTTAGAGAACACATTTGCCTCAAAGATAAATATGCACTGATTGCAGCGCGTCTCGTGTTCTCACTACCAGTAATGGGTGAAAGCATTCACGGCGCTCGAGACAACAAGTGGGACCGGGACTAATGCTTATTACTGCATCTGACATTGTCGGCCGATCGATTATCATATGGCATGGTTAGTGGCTTCAGTTTTTGTTTTGACTTGTGGCTCCGACTACGAACGGTTACCATACTCCTACACCTGCAGAAGCGGCTTGCGCTGTACCATCGATGCATTATGACGCCATAAGTGTACATCTGAATGGATAAATCCAGGGGATGGCGGTTGAACCGGAGCCGATTTATCAACACGCGCATTAATGTGGTATAACATAGACAAACATGCGTACTGGACACACGGTGCAGTGTTCGTACTGCAGCTTGTTCCAAAGTGGAACAATCCTTTAGGACTCACAAGGTCACCAGGAAAATGCGCCTCACTTTCAGCTGTCTCCTGGTTGGATGAGAAAAGATGACAGTATTAGAACGGTCGCAACCCTGTAAACAGTTGCATCACATGCATCAGTACCTAATATATTACACAAGGACAAGTGTCAACAGCATAAAAGTCATCCAAGCTACCGGCTCCATGTGCTTCCTCCATAGCATTAAAATAGTCACATCAAGCGGTATGCACCAAATTTCACTGAAAACAGGAATATACAGCTCACTCGAGTCATCGTCAATAGTTCAAAAAGAGGTTGGAAGGTTGCGTGATCTGTTTGTAGTAGGTATCACTCCTTCAAATCAACCAACCGCTGGACATTTAGTGGGTTAATAAAGAGAGAAAACCTCTTCGTTCGTAGAGGCACGAAAAGAAAACAGAAAAATAAGGATCACCACGTACGTCGGTAGATCGATCTCCTGCTTGTGCCCACACCTCGTCGACAAGTTGAGCCAAAAGACCGACGGACGGGGGTACATTGGATGGCACAGCAAGCAGTCCGAGAGCTTGAGGCCATGCATCGAGTACTGGAATGATCTTTTCCAAACGAAACTTTAGAGCACGGTATAGGAACGCGTCCAGCTCTTCGGTACTCTTGAACCTGAAGTTAGCGTAAATTAGGCAATATTTCATGAGGCACGGAGAAAAAACGTATGGAAAGAAACAAGGGTTGAATAGAAGCTGGACAACGCCAACGGAAATTCATCAGCGAAAGATATGAACAATTCATGGTTGAAGTGGCATCCATTCGCAAACTGTAAACACCGCTTAGTAAGCGGCGCAAACGTGGCTGATTTGCTTGCCCGCTGAATGGCCGAGATGAGATTTATGGGGCAGAAATTAGTCGGTAAACGAACGCGCTAAATAGATGAGCCGACCATTGCAGTTCAGTTAAAAAGCAAATTCCCGATTGATATAGACGCGAAAATATCGGTGAAAATAAGCGGCTCTTAGATTCACAGGATATTGGACAAGGCTATAGATGGATTGCAGCTAGATCGTGATGATTGATGCAATTACTACCGAACACCGACAGATGTCTATAACACCGCACGATAGAAACCACCACGTGTTTGTTGAAATTGTGTTGAGGCATTTTTCCAGAAAGTGTCCGTTCACCGATCACCAGTGCACCATCTGCCACAAGAAAGGCCATAAAGAAACGCATTGCCGATCAACCACATGACGTCCTCATCGTGGGGACCAGTAAAAACCGTTACAACAACGCGGAATCAAATGGGAGTCTGTGGTTTTTACGCATCTGCACAGAGAGGATTTGTTTCACTTCGTAAGTTTAGCGCTCATTATTAATAGTCACTAGGTGTGCCTACAGCTGGATACCACATCTGACAGCACCATCTCCAGTCCGACTTGGTCGGCTATCGGTAGACTGATACTGCGCAATACAGAAAATACCGCAAGTAGTGCATCAAACGGCATTTTACAGCTATATGGTAAATTTTCTTGCGAATATGTTTACAAGGAACGATAAGCGAACTGCTGTCTGCCACGTTTCTGACAACCCGGGATTAAATATACTTGGTATTGATTGGATAACTGCGTTGTATCTGTGGAGTGTTCCTCTTGACTCTGTGTACGATCAAACCGAAAGTCTATCCGGTAAGGATATGTTGTCACAGTGCTACGTAGCGCAGAATTCTACAGTCGCTGACGATATAGAAGCAATTCCCAGAAGTGTTCAAGCCTACACTTGCCTGTTGTACTAAACTCAAGTCATCTTTGTATCTAAATGATGACGCAAAGCCTGTTTATCAACCGAAAAGACCAGTGCCATATGCGTCTCTTAAACTAGCTGACAGTGAATTGCATCGCTTGGAGCAACCAGGTGATTTCTCAAGTGGAATCCTCAGATGAGGCAGCGCACATAGTGATAGTGAAAAAGCCAAACGGAACCATTCACCTATGTGGAGATTATTCAACCGGCAGCACTGAATCTCCACCAATACCCGATGCCAGTACCGGAGGATCGTTTCGCCAAACACAACGGCAATCTCATTCTCCCAAAGATTGATCTCTCGGATGCCTACCTTCACGTGGTAGTCGATGATGACGCACGGCGCCTTCTTCCAAGTAACACTCACCGTGGTCTATACCAGTACAATCGGCTACCGTTCGGTGTGAACGCTGCTCCGGGACTCTTTCAACAATTGATGAATACTATGCTAGCGGACATATCATGGGCTTGTGCATACTTGGATGATATTATTATCGCATCAACAGACAGAACCCATCAAAGCCGCCACCTCTTGCAAGTATTCGAACGCCAACTGGAATACGGTTTGACTCTGAGAGCGGACAAACGTTATTTGTTTATCCCTCAACTGAAATACCTTGATTTTATTGTCGACCGTGACAGGCGGAGACCTGATATTGAACAAACGCGCGTTATCGAGGAATTACCTGCAACACACGATATACCTACCCTGCAATCGTACCTGTGCAAGGTAAGTTATTACGGTGCATTTATTCCTGATATGTATCGACTACGCGGGCTAATGAATGAGTTGCTGGGTAAAAATCGACCCTGGGTTTGGTCATCCAAATGTGACGAAGCGTTTAGGCTCATTAAGAAAGCTCTTGTATCTGACTCAATGCTGGCACATTATGACCCAAAAGCAGATGCCCCTAGTTATGGTGTTGGAGCAGTTCTCCGTCAGCGTTTCGACTCTAGCACCATGAGAACGGCTGCCTACGCATCACGTGCCTTAACGAAGTCAGAAAGAATCTATTCGCAGACCGAAAAAGAGGCACTAGCTTTTTTTGCTGTCAGAAAGTTTCACCGGATGTTGCAGAGTAGAGAATTTGTATTGGAGACTGACAGTAAACCATTATTAGCCATTTTCGGTTCAAAGAAGGGTATATCTGTGTACACGGCAAATCGCATCCAACCCTGAGCGACACTGTTGCTCGGATATAATTTTACAATAGCTCATGTGCCTACGGCAGATATCTCGACTTATCGCAAGACAGCCGAGTACTGAAGAAGACCAGGTGATCTCATCAGTTGCGCTTGAATCGGACCTGAAACAGCTTCTGTGTAATTCAATCAGAGCTCTCGCGATTACTTCTGTGGACACCCAGCAGCACACCAAACTCGACTGCCTTTTGCAAAACGTTATTCGTTTTTAAACACAAAGTGGCCAGACCGGATTACTGAGACACACATTAAACAATTTTATTCTCGACGTGACTCGTTAGCACCGGTTGATGATTGTGTTATGTTCGGTGCACGCGTGGTTGCTTCGAAGACCCTGCAAGCAACGGTTTTAAGATATTTGCGACTACATCACTCAGGAATATCACGAATGAAAGCTTTAGCCAGAAATTACGTATACCAGTCTTTTATTAACAATTGTGCCTCAGAAGCGAAACTTCTAAGCAAAATCATTCAACCCAGGATGCCAGCCTCTAGGCATTAGAAGAGAATTCACGTTGATTTTGCTGGTCCAGTGCAAGGCCAGTGCCTTTTGATTGTGATTGATGCGTATACCAAGTGGCCGGACGTATACCTGATGAACAGAACCACGACAGCGGCCATAGTACGAAAAGTACAATAGTTATTTGTGCAGTTCGGTTCAACAAACACCCTGGTTTCCGATAACGGTTCACAATTTATCTCCGACGATTTTCAGCTTAATGGTTCCAAACATCGCCGGTCGCCTCTGGAGCATCCCCAGTCCAACCGGCAAGCAGAAAGATTCGTGGATACCTTCAAACGTTCACTTCTAAAACTGCGGGGGAAGGACCGACAGAGGATATCATACAGGTGTTTCTGTTAACTTATCAGCCTACGCCTAACCCCGCAGTACCAGGCGGCAGATCCCCAGCGGAAGCCATATTTGGGCGTGAGATACGTCTTCCAATTGACGCAATACGCCCTAACGTTGTGCAACGGCTACTCGCGTCAGATGTGAGCAGATGTTTTCCACCAGGGGAGCCGGTGAACGCGTTGGATACAAGGCTGAACCACCAAACCTGGCAACCTGAAGTGGTAAAAAAAGGGCACTGTGCTGTACGAGGTATCTATAGGACGGTCGTCTCATACGGCACCTTAATCAGTTACGCAAACGACGGAGCGAACACAAAGTCACTTATACCTTCGAGTTACCGTTCGATATACTGCTGAAACGTCTGAACTACTAAAAACTGAGGTTTAGTGAGCCGACGGAAACGTGTACAGAGCCATGCCAAAGAGTCGCTCGGAGATCTATCAGGGTAACTAAAAGGTCAGACGTCTATAGGTGAACCCAAAACGTCATTCGTATGAGTCTGAAAAACGAGTTACCAAAGGGTGAGATGTTACGCCAAGTGAACCGGTGCCTTAAAAGTGCAATGTCGTCCCACACACCCGACCGTGAACTTCCCTCTCACCCAATGTTCATTTGCATAGGGTCGCCGCCTGTCTGACACACACACACACACACACACACACACTATGCACGTCAGCTAGAGGTGGGAAACACCTCCGCTACTGTGCCGCAATACCTAAAAGAAAAGAAGGGAATAAAATGTTACAGGTGCATCGTTTCGGTAAGCTACCAGCCGGCTACTATGCAGCAAAAAATGTAGTTTCCTATGCAAAGTTATAAAATGTTAAATAATGAGATCGTGGTTGGAGAGGTGGCTAAAAGGGATGGGAAGGGACAAAGAGATTCACAACACGCACGCCACCGAGGTCGGCTCCTAGCCATGTCAACAAGTGTATCCAGCCAAACATGTTCATCGTCTTTCGGACCCCAACCAGGGAGCCGAGACGCTCCAACCGGTCAGCTCAGAAGGGAGGACCTTCGTTCCTCTAAACCAAGTCATCGCTTGGCCACCCCCCCCTCTTCTTCCCTCCACACCCCCGGTGCAAAAACAACGCACGTAGCGGGAGTCGGTGGACTGGCATGCGTAACACGTGGCCGAGGCATCGGAGCCTGGTGCGTGAAATAACGGTGCTGAGCGGTTCAGTTCCTTTTCCTGTGCTGTAAACAAAGCGTCGGACACGCTCGTTGCTCACGCGATGTTCCCACCAGATGTGAGCTAAATTGCGAAGGCACCGATGGTCCAACGTAACTAGCCTCTTCATGTCCGCGGATGTAATGGTCCAGGTTTCACAACCGTACAGTAGGGTCGAACGTACCGCTGCATTGTACACTCTACCCTTCAGGGCAAAAGTGATGTCGCGCCGGTGCCAAAAGTGGCGAAGGTTAGCAAAAGCGCCCTGAGCTTTTGCTGTACGGTTCGTGATCTCATCTTCAATCCCACGGGCGCTGATATAACTTCCCAAGTAGTTGAATTTTTGAACCACTTCTAACAGATCCCCGCCAAGGGTCAGCGAAGGAGGCGGTCCAGGCCAGTCTTGGAGGAACGCTTTGCACTTCGATGGTGCAAAGCAAAGCCCGAAGTGACGGACAGGCAGTGCTAATCGGTCCAGTGCGGCTTGGCACGCCTGGGAGCTGTTACAGATTAGGGCAATGTCGTCTGCATACTCCAAGTCAAGAAGTCGTACTCCTGGGAGTAGCTCCACACCTAAGTCGTGTCCTATAAATGCAATCTCTATGACTTCGTCAACAGCGAAGTTGAAGAGGAAAGGTG